GTAACGTCATACTGTGCTTCTTGAAACAACCACACCATCTTTTTCCAGAGCAGCCTGTATTTCTCCTGAGGTTACCTGTGGGTTTGTATTTGTATCCAGGACAATTCGTCTGGCAGTTGTGGCTGCAATCTTTTTTGATCTACCTGACCTTGGCTTGGTATCAAGAAATTCCTGAATTTTCTACTTCTTAATAAGTGATTGAACAGTACTGACTGGCATACTCAAGGCTTTGGATATCTTTTTATCTCCCTTTCCATCTTTATAAGGTCCCATTACCTTGTTATGCAGGTCTTTTGACAGTTCTTTTCTGCTTCCCATGGCTCAGTATCTAGTCTGCTCAGTGCAGCCACATGAGAGCTAACAAATCCATTGACTATCTATACACAGGCACTAATTGCAATTTAAAAAGCCACAGATGTAGGAAATTAAACTTTTAATTGCCATTTTAACCTGTGTGTGTCACATTGTGTGTTTGTACCAAGAGCAGACATTCCAGGGTATAAAAACCTTTGATTAGGGCCTTTCGGGTGATTTCTGCTGTCATTATGATTTAAAGAGGAGCCAAACAACTATGTGTTAATAAATTGCTTATTATGATCACAATCCTTACAACCTAAAAACAGTTTTTGGCACGATTAGTCACATTTTCAATATCAATGCCAAAATGTCATGATTACTGCCAGGGTATACAAACTTTTGAGCACAACTGTATATCAGTAATCGTTAACATGTGATCTGCGCAGTTTTTTTTCTGTTCATCAGCTGTCCTTATTGTTAATGTATTTTATGTGTGGCCCACGGCAATTCTTCTTCTTCCAATGTGGCCCAGGAAAGACAAAAGGTTGGACACCCCTGCTCTAAAGTCTAAAGAACCTCATATACAGCTCACAAAACATTTAAGCTGCAAGGAGCTTTCTTACAATCTTTAAAAAATCCTACATCTCCATTCTCTGATTGCTAAATAAAGATTTTAATAGTACTGGTGGCTTCAGCAGATTCATGAAGCTGTTAGGAGTGGTAACAAAGCTAAGAATGCCTGTTGTAAAAATTGTCCATGAGTTGACTTGTGAAAGTAACACAATTCTGCCTCTGCATAACTCTGTCTCTCACTCTCTTTGCAATTTTTTTTTTTAAAAGCTAAATTCATTTTAAGGGAAAAATAAAATATTTACACTATATAGAGGGGCCTTGACAAGGCAGTGCAGTTTCCATATAAATGTGCAAATGTGCAACTAAAACCTCTGTTTTTAACACACTTTACAGCACCCCCTGGCCAACAAGTCTGACTTCATATGCAGTTCAAAAATGGTACCAAACATTTTCACTTCCTGAAATGTTTACCTCTATGAAAAAAAATCTATTGCCTTAAATAAAGTTTTATCCTGATTTTCTTCTTCACTGATAATGTAAAATATACAAAAATCTGAAATATTATTCACACTGCATTTTCATACTTTCCACTAAGTGTCGTTTTATGATTACCGTTTAATTTGAAACTTGAGTCTCATTATTTTCTTTTGTCACTTAAAGCAGAACTCTGGGCAAAACGTTTTTTGTCGCATACAGTGGGGCTGTTTTTGTCTAGGGGTGACAAGATCATAGGCAAATTAGCCTGAAAACCCTGGGAAAAATACGCAGAGGAGGATTGGAATATTGGTGGAATCTGGGTGGATTATCATATACATGCGATATGATACTAATCTGGAGGTGAGAGTTCTGTGAGCACAGAGGTGACACATACTGTGTGAAGTCTATAAGCACAGAGTTTAAGACTTTAGTGTTGGAGCATCACTTTAACAAAAGTTTTAATATTTTATTATCACACTGTGAATTGCATGAAGTACTATAACATTACTATTGGACTTTAATGTTCACTGGTACACTTTATTGCACGTTCACCATTTTGTAAGCTTGATCATATTTAGTTATTTCACTTTGCTTGTGACACACAAGAAGAGAAGGTGGTGCATATATATATATATATATATATATAATATATATTCTGAATATTTTTATTATTAATGTTTTTACACATTTAACACAATTTTAGCAGCTAAGCTCTGCAGAAGGGGGTGTACCCCTGAAACATATCAGTTTGCCAGTATATTGGGGTGTGTTTGGAGCACGTGTATCATGCGACACATTACATCTTCTGGTTTACATTCTCTTATTTGTTGAACTTTTGTGAGTATCCATTTTTATTGATTTTATATCTTTGCAATACATTTTTGCTAATTGTTCTTTTTGTAGCCTTACATTGCATTCCTCTACTTTAGGAGGGCTGCTTTTGGCAAGCATTCCAGATGTGCCTGTTAAGTCAGATCTCTCGGTGGAGGACCACTGTGTGCTGGGAGTGACTGCTTTTTCTACAGTTTTAGCAGCACAGCATCCCAAATTGCACTATTATTGAGTATAGCCTTTCTGTCCACCCCTGAACAAAACAAGCAATGCAATGGTGCTTGCCATTGCTCACATTATGTTGTTACATGGCCTCCAGCATTGCATAGCAATGTTTTAATGTGCTGGATTGTTATACAGGCTAGATATGATGGCAGAAGATAGGGATCATCTAAGGGACATGCAGGCTGCACTGGAGGGGTGGAGAGGGTTTTTTTGTGAGTTTACATTTTTTGAAAAGGTGAACACTTGAAAACTGAGTAATTTTACTGGCACTTTTTATGTTCAGCACAATCATTAAGAAAGATTTTTCATGTGTGATACATTTTAAGCCCCTTACACATGGAGTATCTATCCGGCTGGGTGTTCATCCCTGACTACATAGGGATATAAACCACTCAGTACAGCATTCATCCTCATCCAGCCATAGCACATTTCAGCCTACTATAGACTTTGACAAGCTGTAGTCTTGATGGTGGATGCTGCACCTGTGCCTCTTGTTCGCAAAAAAATAATGGTGGTCAAATACAAACCTCTGTACAGGTCATTACTGTACTACGCTGTACCTTTCATGGTCCTGTTACTTTTCATATTGTTGGGGTATTTCTGAAGCTATGGCTGTACCGTTTGTCTTGAATTTTGTGTTTACTATGTGATCTCCCATATGTCTATGCTTCAATAAAGATGACAAGTTCAAGTAAAAAAAAAAAAAAAAAAAAGCCTGTAATGCATGCATAAGTGCTAGACATACATTTTTGCAATTGGCCTTATATTGGCCTTATATGTAGCACATAGACTCATTTTGCATTTCACCTTCAAAACATTACATATCCAAAACTACTTTTATATTAATGTTTCCAACACCAGGCATGTGAAGTACATTCATAGCTGGAGAACAGTAGACAGAGAATTTTGTTTTTACAGTGTGATTCCAGTCAAAACCTAACTAAGTCTACTCCCACCTCCATTCTAAGCCTATTATATCTACCCTGTAAAAGGAAACTTGCCTGATCTGAGGTGGCTCTGGTCCAATCACATGATTGGGTCCCAGCATTGGCTTCAGTGTAGAGGAGAGACAGCCAACAATGGATGCCCCATAATAAGCCTATGGATGACATAACTGTCCAGGCTCTGCAGTTGTTGTCGTTGTCTCTCCTCTGCACTGAAGCCCCCGCTGGAGAGCTAATGTGACTGGACCAGAGCGACTTCAGAATAGGTAAGTATAAGCATCTTTCCTTTTACAGGGTAGATAGAATAGGTTTAGAGTGGGGGTGGGAGTAGATTTAAGCTTAGTTGAGTTTTTACTTGAATTACACTTAAATATTTATTTATTTGAAAGAACAGTTTATTACTTTACAACCACCAATTTCAGCAAGAATGATATCTAGTTAATATCTAGTGAGAAATGTACACTGCAGAAACAGGACAAGGTAGAAATGTTGCTCATAGAAACTAATAATCAACAAAAGCTGATGAAATTGATATGGGGGGACAAGAGACACAGGGTGAATAAATGCACATCTAAGCTGTGTGGGGGACTAGGTATGCCAGACATGATTAAATATTATTACGCTGCACAGTTGGCCCAGCTGGCTTGTTTTTATACGCTGAGCCACAAGTCCGAAAGACAAGCCAATTATAATATACCAACACTGCCATTCTCCTTCCATTTTTGGGATAGGCTGGCACCTAGATATAGCTTCAAGTCCTTACATAACCCTCTGACTCTTGATTAACCCTGCTTTCACCCTGGGCATCAGTCCACTTTCTTTTACCTGGTGGACTAATAAAGGTCTGTTGCTCATTGCGGATCTGTGTGACTATAGAGGTGTTTTTGTCGAAATAATCATTACAAGAAAAATATCAGCTTCATGATATAATTCTTTAGATATTCACAGATTTAGCATTTTTTGAATACTTTAAAATGCAATTCAGATTTGACTTCTTCCACTTCAATGGAATATTTGTGCAAGAATTTTGACAAATACACTGGTCACATATCTAAACTTTACCTTATACTGACTACTAGCCATACAAAGTTGTTCTATATGAACAAGTGGGAACAGGATCTGAATGAGCAGTTGGAGGTGGAGGAGTGGTGCAATTTAAATCAGGGTGCCTCTCAATCGTACACCAATACCTCTCTGATTGAGGCCAATTATAAAGTACTCTTAAGATGATATATGCTACCCATGAGAATAGCCTCTTGTGTCCTAGGGCCCCTCCATTATGCTTTAGGGACCGTGGCCAGGAAGGGAGAGTCTTCCTTACCTGGTGGTCTTGTCGGAAAGTGAGGAGGTTTTGGATTCATACGTATAACGTTATCTATTCTGTCACTCAGGCGAATTTGACTAAATCTCCTCAACAGGCCTTATTGGGAAGTCCAGTTGAGGGGCTACCGAGATACACAAAGAGACTAATTGCATTAATCTTCGTGGCGACATGAATTTCCATTGCACATTCCTGGAAAGCCCCAATGTTCCCATTTGAGTTATTGAAGCCCAAGATGTCATGGATCATGATCAATGAACGCCTCTCAGCACTCCTAAATGACAAGTTGGCCACTGCACATGCACGAGAAGCACGGCGCTTAGTGAATGGTACGGCATCTTCTGGGACCCATGACAGGTCCCAGAAGACTCCGGACCAATCACAAAGCGCAGCGCTTCTCGCGCATGTGCAGTGGGCACCCGGCTGTCAGCCGGGTGCTCACACTAAAGAGAGGACAACTCCATGGAAGTGGGAGCAGGTACCTGTCAAATTCAGGTACCCGCTCCCCCTCCCTCCCCAAAGGTCCACAGTCTCTTGGTCATCCCCTGTACTGTCTGCAGTCTCTGGTCATCCCCTGTACTGTCTGCAGTCTCTTGGTCATCCCCTGTACTGTCTGCAGTCTCTGGCCATCCCCTGTACTGTCTGCAGTCTCTGGTCATCCCCTGTACTGTCTGCAGTCTCTGGTCATCCCCTGTACTGTCTGCAGTCTCTTGGTCATCCCCTGTACTGTCTGCAGTCTCTGGCCATCCCCTGTACTGTCTGCAGACTCTTGGTCATCCCCTGACTGTCTGCAGTCTCTGGTCATCCCCTGTACTGTCTGCAGTCTCTTGGTCATCCCCTGTACTGTCCGCAGTCTCTTGGTCATCCCCTGTACTGTCTGCAGTCCCTGGCCATCCCCTGTACTGTCCGCAGTCTCTGGTTATCTCCTGTACTGTCTGCAGTCTCTGATCATCTCCTGTACTGTCCGCAGTCTCTGGTCATCTGCTCTACTGTGTCCGCAGTCTCTGGTCATCTCCTGTACTGTCCGCAGTCTCTGGTCATCTTCTGTACTATGTCTGCAGTCTCTGGTCATCTCCTGTACTATGTCCGCAGTCTCTGGTCATCTCCTGTACTGTGTCCGCAGTCTCTAGTCATCTCCTGTACTGTCCGCAGTCTCTGGTCATCTTCTGTACTATGTCTGCAGTCTCTGGTCATCTCCTGTACTATGTCCGCAGTCTCTGGTCATCTCCTGTACTGTCCGCAGTCTCTGGTCATCTCCTGTACTATGTCCGCAGTCTCTGGTCATCTCCTGCACTGTCCACAGTCTCTGGTCATCTCCTGTACTATGTCCGCAGACTCTGGTCATCCCCTGTATTGTGTCCATAGCCTCTGGTCATCTCCTGTACTGTGTCCGCAGTCTTTGGTCATCTCCTGTACTGTGTCCGGAGTCTCTGGTCATCTCCAGTACTATGTCTGCAGTCTCTGGTCATCTCCTGTACTGTGTCTGCAGTCTCTGGTCATTTCCTGTACCGTGTCTGCAGTCCATTGATTCAGAATATTTTTTTCTTGTTTTCCTCCTCTAAAACCTAGGTGCGTCTTATGGTCAGGTGCATCTTATGGAGCGAAAAATACACTAACTGAAATCAGTAGCTTCCTGTAACCATCAATGAATGTCTTACACCTCTCTACTGGAATCTGGTCCACTCTTCTTTTGCCAACTGCTCCAGGTCTCTCAGACTAGAAGGGTTCCTTTTCCCAACAGCTGTTTTGAGATCTCTCTCCACAGGTGCTCTATGGGATTGAGATCTGGACTCATTGCTGGCCAGTTCAGTACTCTCCAGCACTTTGTCTTAAACCATTTCTGGGTGCTTTTTTACATTGCACCCCAGAATTCTTTGGTAGTCTTCAGATTTCATAATGCCATGCACATGGTCAAGACATTCAGTGCTTGAAGCAGCAAAGCAACTCCAAAACATCAGCGTACCTCCACCAGGTTTGACTGTAGGGACTGTATACTTTTCTTTAAAGGTCTCATTGCTTTTTCTGAAAAGAGTAGAATCATGGGCTTTACCAAAAAGCTGTAATTTTGTTTCGTCTGTCCACAGCACATTCTCCCAAGAGGATTTTGGCTTCCTCAGGCAAGTTTTGACAAACTCTACTCTGGATTTTTTATGTTTCTGTGTCATCAGTGAGGTCCTCCTGGGTTTCCTACCATAGCATCCCTTTTCATTCAGATGGCGACATATAGTGGGAGCTGACACAGTTGTACCCTGTGCCTGAAGGTCAGCTTGAATTTGTCTGGAAGTAGATCGAGGTTCTTTATCCACCATTCGAACAATGCTTCATTGCAATCTTTGATCAAGTATTTCTCTTTTGTCCATGTCCAGGGAGATTAGCTACAGCTCCATGGGCTGTAAACCTCTTGACAATGTTGCACACATGGGACACAGGAACATTAAGATCTGCTAATTGATACAGGTGAGCTTAATTACAAATTACAGGAGCATCAAAAACTTGGAATGAAATTATTTCTTACAATATTGAGAAAGTGAAAATAATTTTGTCCAGTCCATTTTTGGGGTTTTGTGTGTAATGTGTCAGAGTTGGCTTTTTGTTTCTCTACTTTTTTTGTGTCATACCAATACAAACAAAACAAATAAACATGGGAATGCCTAAACATTTGTAATTGCAACAATTTTCTGGGTGAAGTGGTGCATTATCTGACAGAAATACAGGGATGCCAGTATTTTTTGCCATGACATGTATATTAGTATAACTACTAATCTGAAAAAGGACCTTTGTCTAATTAGGAAAAAATAACACTTATATGCACCACATTTCTATTTACGGAGATCTATACAAACTAAATTATCTTGCAAAGGAGCACAGTATGGCTCTTGTTTGGAATATTTCACCTTACCTCCTGTGTATTTCACAGGCGTTCGGAGAGGAATGGAGAAGAAATCTCCATAGACAGCAATAAAACAATTGTTCTAGAATAGTGGGAAGTGTCACAACCTATGTAATTTTTTTTTCTTTGAGTCTCATTAGAGAGATTTCCCTTCACTTCCTGGTACTTGCGAAATCCATCCGCTGCCTCCCAACTCCATCCATACTATAATGGCTCTGATGGCCTGCCTCACTGGCCAACAGGGATGTGTGGAGGAGCTCCAGCTCTACCAGGAAATATCTAAGCTCTACACAAGTAGAAAAGTCTAGCATTTATGCAGACTGGGAGGACTTAAAGCGTCTACGGGTATATGGAGGCAGATTTTTTTTTTTTTTTTTTTGGGGGGGGGGGGGGGGGGGGGGTTGTCATACAGTACATGCTGTGATAATATAAAAATATTTTTTAAATATTCCCAATTCCAAAATAAATGCCTTTTACTTTGCTGTGATGGCCTACTTTCGTCTTCACAAGCTTAGTACATGTGAGGCTGGTGGGGGTACATTTGTCATAAGCACTTATTCCCCACATGCTTAGGAGGCTGACTTATGGGAATTGCGGACACAATCTTGGCAAGCTTATTTGCAGGAGTAAATGTGAAGATGGGGAGAGTAGAGCCCTCACCATCATTACTTAAGTTTGCAGCACATCAGGGGAGTCTGTATCGCCATAGTGCCAGGCAGGCTGGCAGAGTGTGTTGCTATGGCTATTTGAGTGATTTTTATAGCTCAGATATATAAATTGTTAAATTTTCGTTACATGTGTTGTTTTTGGAAGCTAGGCCTCCTCTATTGATATACTAACAAACCTGTTGGACTGCTTTGTTAAGCTTAGTACAAGAAATTTTGTACAGGTAGTGGGGGGAGGGGGAAGCAATTGAACAAGCCATGTGGTGAGACACAAAGAAAGAATTGTGCTGGAGGACTCTGTGAAGCAAGGAGCCATGAGAAGACTCCATCACCAGGAAGAACCAAGTTAAGTACAGTAGCTGTTTATTATACATATTGCATACATTTCCCCTGCTAATTTGCTGGGAAGGATAGATAGTTTGGGCATATGTATATTGTATGCATATTTTGTGATAGTTTGTATGCAGTGAATTGCTTTTCCTACAGTTGTATGTGCAGGTTTTCTTTTTAGTAAAGCAAACATTAATATACTACAAAGGTTTTCTTGCATTACTGAAAAGAACCTAAAAGACACAAAGCAAAACAGCAGAGGAAGAAGTGCCATCCAGTATTGGCATTGCACCATAGTGATGAATACAAGGTTTAAAAGGAGACCATGGGAAATTCGGTCCCTCTGAAACAAGAGTGAGTTCCTAGGAGAAGGGAAGCAGACGCATCAAAATAATGCAGAGGCTGGAATTTATCTTTAAGTAAGAGTCACTTTAACAAAATATAGAATACAAATAACACAATTTAATTCCAAACATAAAAATAATAATAAAGTTGGAGTGTAGACATTATTTAGCATTAATGTACTCTGTCTCAGTAACTGGTAATTTTATTTTAACTTGTAATACAGTTTACAGGTGCTGGTAAAGTGAAGAATGACTATTGTATTCCTGCAAGGAAGGGTATTAATTTGATAGGAATTCTGGACAACAGAAAACATATAGTATTCAAAATTTATGAGACCAATTCAGGTGACATGTTTGGCAACCCTTATAGTTGACATTTTGCAGATGTGCATTGGAATGATTTTTCCATTTTGATGTGCCTAGGGCACAGCTGCCCTACTTACCTATATTTACCTATCCAATGCTACACTTTTTAGGTACCATTTGGTTTACTCCTGTTAGACACACTTACCAGACTTAAAGGTGGGTTTACAGTAAGATTTGAATAATAAAAATGTGGCCACACAACTAAAAACAGAATTAAGCACCTACAGAGGAACCCTCCCGAAATACACTGGATTTAAAGTGTGTATATATAGCTATTTCTTTTTTGGATGAAGTAGGGAAAGGTTAAATCCCCTACCAAGTAATTTTTATGCTTGTGCCCAACTGAGGAGCTTTCCCATTACTTCTTGTGTTGGAGATGCGACAGGAAGTAAAGCTGGCCACATGTGGATAGATTTTTATTCAAACATTTTCAGAAAAATTGTTCTTCAGAAAATGATTTCTTGTCAACAAGTGAACTATTTCTGCTTAAAAGCACAAACCAGCTACACTGCCAATGATGGTGGATGGACATTGGGGAACAGATCCCTTAATTTTGCTAACATGCAAAATCGAGAAGAGGGTTGCTCAGTTCTAAACTCATGGTCTGAGACTGTCTTATTGCAGATTGGCTTAAGTGTTATTATATTGATCTTCATTTGAAAAGCCAAGATCAGTTGGTTAGATATGATGGTATTTTCACATGGCACCACTGGTCTTCAACTAGTATACCAAATGTTCAGCATCAGTGTTGGAGAAATACATTAAAAGTTATGGATTAGAAGTACAAATAAGTCCTGTGAAATAGAAAATATTGCTAGAAGATGACACGTTTTTTAAAAGTTTTTACCAGTACAAACACATTAAACAGAAATCTGTAGAGAATAAAATACACCTATCTGTCATATACCTAATAATATCACCACCAGTGGTCCCGAGTGCATTCTAAAGAAACTGACTATAGGAAGGTTACAGTCTCCTTGGAAAGTGTCCTTGAGGGCATATTAGTGTGTATACAAATGAACCATTACTCAAGTTCTCTCTCTTCGGTAAACAGGTCTGCAAGATCAGCTACAGTCAGGACAGAAACTTCAGACTGCTTCATTGATGTACTTGTGTGACTGGAACCAGAAAAAGACAATGTGGGTTAGAAGAATAGTGGAAACACTAGCAGCTGCATTAGTTAAACAGCGGAGAGTGGTATTATTTTTTCTCTCGTTACATATTTACTTTCACCTCTGAAACTGAAAATGATCACTGCTGCCCAAAATGAGTGGAACCATTTTATTTTAAAGCCTGCTTCATTTTCAATTCAACTTCATTTCCATTTTTAGAGATTTTATGTTTTGGTATTTAACATTTTCTGTAACTAATTTTGCACAGTTGTGGAGAAGGGGTGTCTGGAAAGATATGTGAGCTGCCAT